CTTCCAGACTTACGAGGTAAATGTGTTGTGACAGGATGTTCTGGTTCCAAGGTATCAATAGGGTGTTGTGCTCCATCATGACTAACATCTGTATTGGAGTTAGGAGTTTGTGTGTGAGATGGAGTATCTAGAATATCAGGAAGGGAAGATCTTATTTGATTGGTATTAGTATGATCATGGTTATCATTATAGGGCTCGGTGATGACAGGATCATTGGAAATATTGAGGTTTTGTGTGAAACTGAGGTGAGGGAGATCAGACGGTTGTCTGTTGCTGTTGGGGTTAGAGTTCTTGTAAGGAAAAACATCTTCATGGAATATTACATTCCTTGAGATGAAAATTTTGTCTGATTCTAGGTCCAACAATCTATAACCTTTCACACCAAAAGGATAGCCAATGAATACACATCTTCTAGACCTAGCATCAAACTTATGTCTGCCATTGGTGAGAGTGGTTGCGAAGGCTAGACAACCAAAAACTCTTCGATGGGTATAGTTGGGCTTAATATGAAAGAGTATCTCAAAGGGACTTTTATGATTTAAATTGGGAGTTGGTGTCCTGTTAATTAGATAAACTGCTGTAAGGACAAAATCATTCCAGTATTTTAGAGGCAGCCCACTTTGGAATTTTAAGGCTCGTGCTATGTTCAAAATGTGTTGGTGCTTTCTCTCAACCACTGCATTTTGCTCAGGTGTTTCAACACAACTTCTTTGATGTATTATGCCTTTTGTTAAATAAAATTGGGTCATATTGAACTCCCCTCCATTGTCTGTTCGAATTGTCTTTATTTTGGCTTCAAATTGGGTTTCTATCATGGCACAAAAATTTTGTAAAGCAGTAGTAGCATCAGACTTTAGCCTTAACATATAAATCCACGTGCACTTACTGAAATCATCTACAATAGACAGAAAATATTTAGAACCATCTCTGCTCAATTCCTTACAAGGACCCCAGATATCACAGTGAATTAGCTCAAAGCATTTTCTAGTCTTGCTGTTGCTTACATTGAAAGGTAACTTGTGCTGTTTGGCTAGAGGGCAGATGGCGCAGGGATTAGATGATGGTGTTAGGTGAACATTACTATCAGGACTAAAATTGGAATATGAGGAATGACCTAGTCTATAATGCCATAGATCGATGTCCTCATGTTTATTTGTAGTAGTGGCAGAGAGAGAACACTTGATTTGATTGAGGATTTCTGATAGAGTTGAGGAAGTGATCGATTTTCTCAGCATATGGTATAATCCATCCTTCACCTCACCCATTCCAATCATTTTCCAAGTCAAAAGGTCCTGAATACAGCAGAAATCAGAGAAGAAAGTAAGGCAGCAAATTCAAAGTTTGAGTAAGCTTCTTTATAGAAATCAAATTAAAAGTAAAACTGGGTATGCAAAGGACATTGTAGAGGATGATGGAGTCTGAAAATTTGATGGTTCCTATGTGTGTGACTGGGACCATTTCTCCATTTGGTAAACTTACAAAGTAAGATGCACATGCTTGAATAGATGTAAATTATGAGATGGAGCAGACCATGTGGTCTGTTGCTCCAGTATCGAGTATCCATGGGATATCAGGTGCACCTCTTTGGTTGTGATGAAAAGCAGTTAGTGATAGAGATATACCAGACATTTTATTGTTGCTTTCCTCAGAAAGGGTTGAAGTGAGGATTTGGGCATTGGATGGTGTTGGAGTGAAGTTCTGGGAATTGTCTGTTGGTTTGAGGAGTGCTAGCAGCTGAGAGTATTGCTCAAGACTTAAAGATACTTGGCCTCTGTCTTTCACCACCTCCCTGTTCGAGCCTACACTTGCAGTGGCTACATTGGCAGCCAATTTTCCCTTATCACTGAGGCTATGTCCTGGTGGGAACCCATGAAGCTTGTAGCATTTATCTGTTCCATGTCCTGGCATTTGACAGTAGTTGCAGATAGGCCTATTTGGATTTGCTTTAAAACATCGTTCAAGTGAGTGCCCAGCAGTTTTGCAGTAAGTGCAATAATACTTATCCTTTCTGTGTGGTGAAGAGTTTTGGCCATTTCTTTCTCTAAAATTCCTTCTACTGAGAAGTGCCATGGAATCAGCATTTGTAGGAGTTGGATTAGATATTTCCCTTCTTTTCTCTTCTTGCTGGACTAAGGAATATACCTCACTTAAGTTAGGAAAAGGTTTGATTAGCAGAATTTGAGCCTTAATTTCCTTATAAGTTTCATTCAATCCCATCAAAAACTTCATAACACAGTCTCTTTGCTGATTTTGAACTACAACATTCAATCCCCCACATGTGCAGTTAGGTATGCTCTCATAATTCATCAGTTCATCAAGTAGAATTTTGAGTTTGGAAAAATATACACTTACAGAATCTTGGTTTTGCATCAAGGTGGTGATGTCCTTTTTAACTTCGAAAATTCGTGGAGCATTTTGTTGTGAGAATCGTTGCTCAAGATCCAGCCAAAGGAGATGAATAGTTTCAGCATAGATGGTACTGCTTTTGATGTCTGTTGCCATGGCATTTTGCATCCAGCTTATGACAATATCGTTACATCTTAACCAATGTTCCATTAATGGGTCATTCTGATCTTTGGGCTCGCAGAGGGTGCCATCGATAAAGCCAAGCTTGTTCTTAATCCTCAAGGCTCTCTTCATCGATCGAGCCCAGGAATAGTAGTTGGTAGAGTCTAAAACATGGCTGACCAGTGCAGTAGCACTTCCATCATTGCTGCCAATGAAGTAGGGACTGCTAGGATGGACTGGATCATGGAAAATTGACGTGTTGCTTCCACCTGTTTGCTGTTGGTTTTGGTTTTGATTTGTATTTGGGGAAGGATCTGTATTTTCAGAATTGGATCCCTCTTTCTCATGCTCTGATACCATATTAGTTTTGGAGAATAAAAAAAAAATACTTAACACAATTTAGCTGAAATAATGTTGAGAATTTTATTCATTCAACCGTGTCTTTCATATACAATGGGAATGTGTATATATACAACTAAAAAGGAATCTTTTCCTAACAAATTTACACAGAGAGAGAGAGGTTGCTGTCAACAAATCTAACTTTCCCAACCAATTTCTTTCTAGATTATTCTGCCATTGCTCTGTCATCAATTCCATGTGATTATTTCTCCAGCTGTGCAGCAAGTCCACGTGGTTTCCTTCTTGCCAATATTTCAGCTGCGCCATCTTCGACCCTGCTTCCTTCCAGTGTTCCAGCTTAGCTATCTTCTAACTTTAATAATTCCAGGGAATGTTCACATTACTCGACGGTATTGTATAGGAGAACATATAAGATTTTGACTTGTTTTTGTTCCTTATTATATCCCGTTTGTTGGAACGACAATTTGAGACCTAGTCTCCGAGGTTGTCATCAGTCGTCCGATTGTGATACTACTACTAAGGTTACAAAACTTGGAATGGGGCCACCTAGTCGAGGCAGCTAGAGCAGGGGCCATATCCCGAACCAGATGACCCTGCCACGAAAATTGCAGCTCGGAAAAGGGATTCAATTTGTAACTTAGACACTAGCGGTGACATGGATTGTAGTGAGCTTCAGCTGACATTGCTTATATGTAATCTATATTTATGTTAATCCAAAGTTGATCCGATTTGATGGCTGTCTAAGGAACCAAGAAAATGAAGAAAAGTGTGTTAAATTTTTGTGCGTGTAACACATATTTAATCAAAGTAAATTCTCTTCAAGATTAAAATTTTAGAGGGTACGTTGTTTCCAAATAAGAAAAGAGGACGATGATATATGTTATTAAATATTATCTTTTTAAAAAAAATAAAAATAATAAGTGGCGTGTTGTTGTCTATCGAATTTCTTGTGCAACCTTGATAAGAGTTGTAAAGTTTTGAGCATGAGATGAGTCAGATTGGAACCGAAGGGATAAGGAACAACTAAGCAAGTGGAGTAATGCAAAAATAGCATATTCAGATAAATTTCACATGGGATCAAATATTTATATATGAAGAATTTTCTGAAATCTTACGACTCGTGGAAATGGTCATACAATTGGAAAAACCAGAACAAAAATACTAGAAGAATAATCTTCAAATTCAAACTTCCAACTTGCGAACGTTGACAAAATGCGTGTTTCCTAACATTAATGTTATTTAAATTCAGCAACTTGCATTAATATAATATTAGGGAGCATTGTTCCGATCTCTATGATATATTAGGTTTGCAGGACTCGATACTAAACATGATTTTAGCTTCTTTTTTCTTAAAATTTTTTATTACTGTAAAGTCAACTTTGAGAAAAGAACAATCCATCCGGGTTCTAATATATGTTCTTCTTGATTTGTAGCTTGTGAAGTATTATTCAATGGCTTTCACGTACTTGTTTTCTTTATCCTGCATTCTGTTCCATTTCATATGCCCTTCCGTAGCCAAAAATTCTTTCAGACCAAAGGCACTTTTCTTACCGGTAACCAAAGATCCATCAACCCTTCAATATGTTACTCAAATCGAGCAAAGGACACCTCTAGTGCCAATTAAACTGACTATTCACCTTGGTGGACAGACCTTATGGGTGGATTGTGAAAATGGATACAACAGTTCATCGTATAGGTCTGCTCGGTGTCGCTCAGCCCAATGCTCGATTGCCAAGTCCCATGCCTGTGGAGACTGCTTCACCCGTATGCCTAAAATCGGATGCAGCAATAATGCCTGCTATAACACCCCGGATAATCCTGCTATCAACACTTTCTATGATGGTGGGGAGATTTCTGAGGATGTTTTGTCAATCCAATCCACCAACGGATTCAACCCTGGCCAACCTGTTAACATTTCACGATTTATTTTCTCGTGTGTTCCCTCATTTCTGACAGCAGGGCTTGCTAACGGGTTAAGGGTACAGCAGGGCTCGGGGGAAGCCTGATCGCCCTTCCTTCTCAACTTGCTCGTGTTTTCAGCTTTCAAAGAAAATTTGCTATTTGCTTGAGCTCCTCCACTAGATCCAATGGCATCGTATTTTTTGGAAATGGCCCATATGTTTTGCTTCCTGGTATTGATGTGTCTATGTCTCTTATTTATACACCACTTATCAAGAATCCATTTGGCATTGGATCCGTCCCATTTCTGAACGAGCTCTCTTCGGAATACTTCATTGGATTAAAATTGATCAGAATCAACGGAAAATCAGTGCAACTAAATAGAACTTTGCTATCAATTGACAGGGAAGGTAATGGTGGAACCAAAATCAGCACCTTTAGACCTTACACTGTAATGCAGACTTCGATTTACAATGCTTTGATTACTGCTTTCAGAAAAGAACTAGCCAATGTCACTAGAGTGCTTCCGGTAGCACCATTTGGGACATGCTTCGACTCTAAGAACATTGGTAGCACGCTCGTGGGGCCTGCTGTTCCACCCATTGATCTTGTCTTTAAAGGCAACAATGTGTACTGGAGTATTTTTGGTGCAAACTCAATGGTGCAGGTTAATGAAGATGTAATGTGTCTCGGATTCGTGGATGGAGGGGAGAATCCCATGACATCAATAGTCATTGGTGGACATCAAATTGAGGACAATCTTCTGCAGTTTGATCTAGCTAGATCTAGGCTCGGGTTTAGCTCTTCGCTCTTGTTCAGGCAAACAACCTGTGCCAACTTCAACTTTACATCTCTCGCTTAAGGGTTCTGTTTCATTTTTCTCATTCAGAATAACATCAAACTATAAAATAAATTCTTGAACTCTTTCTGTTTTTGTTCTGTTCTCATACAACTGCACGTTTTTTTCTTCGTGTTCCTTTTTTTGCTTTTCATATCGCCTAAAAGTTGGCAAAGTAGTGGATATTAGTAACTAAAAGTATGTTCTTGATTTTGCTTGGAAATGATATTAACAACTGCACCCCCTCCAACCTCCACCCCATCCCAAAACAAAAACATTGTAAGTGTTATATAATTGAGAAACAGTTGGACAGTAAAGGTCAACCTATTTTCCTTAAACATTAAAGAAGCATGAGTTACTTATAATCCCTTTGAAAGAACACAAGGATTGCGTTGAAACAAACAGTCCCCAACTTCTGCAACGTTATAAACTCCTCAATCGAAATGTGTATTCCTAACATAGAAATAAAAATGCAAAAGTGCGAAAGGATTCAACATTAAACTACAATTCATTAGGCCTGTGGAACTCAAAATCCAATTCCACGAGCACGAAAAAATGCAGCAAAGTATGAAAGCACCATTTCGGGAACTGTCATCGACTCCTGACATTTTAGGTAGTACAGCCACAAGAAGCCAGCCCAAAAATGACCTAGAAAATGGAGATTCAATGCTAAATGAAACTGTCTTCAACTCTCTTCATAAAATCGACAAAAGTCTTGTGCGTAAGGTACATGTCTACAAAAGAATCTCCCATATTTGCTCGTAAAATCCATCTTTTCATCGTCTAAATCTGCAGGTATTGGCAGAGGCATTAGGGACATTCGTGCTAATGTTCTGCATTTGCGCGATCATAGCAATAATGCATTTAATCGGATTGGAAGCAGGCCTAATGGAATATGCAGCCACAGCAGCACTAACAGTAACTGTTATAGTTTTCTCCATAGGAGCAATTTCTGGAGCCCATGTCAATCCTGCTGTCACAATTGCCTTCGCAACTGTCGGCCCATTCCCATGGTCCGAGGTAGTTCCAAGTCCAAAACTTGTTAAATTTGAAGATACGGATCAAGAAATTGAATTTCAAATTTATTTCCCTTTATTCTTTGAAGGTTCCACTCTATATATTGGCACAAATTGGGGGATCTACTTTGGCAACTTATATTGCAAGATTAGTATATGGCATTAGATCAGAGCTTGTGATGACCAAACCACTCCAAGGATGCACTGCAGCTTTCTGGGTGGAGCTTATTGCAACTTTCATAATTCTTTTCCTCACTGCATCCTTGTCGGATCGAGAAATTGAATTTCAAATTTATTTCCCTTTTTCTTTGAAGGTTCCACTCTATATATTGGCACAAATTGGGGGATCTACTTTGGCAACTTATATTGCAAGATTAGTATATGGCATTAGATCAGAGCTTGTGATGACCAAACCACTCCAAGGATGCACTGCAGCTTTCTGGGTGGAGCTTATTGCAACTTTCATAATTCTTTTCCTCACTGCATCCTTGTCAAATGACCCTCAATCTGTAAGATTCTGTCAATTCTACTCGAGTCATTTTACGTTCGACTACACTTATCCTGTGATATGTTCGGTTTAGAGTTATATCAGACATGTTGCACATATTAGGATATTCGATTTACAGTGTTCCTAGTAATATTTCTTCTGGTATGATATAGTGCCATTTTTGCAGATAGGACAGGTGTCTGGCTTTGTTGTCGGGGTGGCCATTGGACTAGGAGTGCTAATTTCTGGGTAAAGCATAAAGATTCTACTCGAGTCATTTTACGTTCGACTACACTTATCCTGTGACCGCAGATATGTTCGGTTTAGAGTTATATCAGACATGTTGCACATATTAGGATATTCGATTTACGGTGTTCCTAGTAATATTTCTTCTGGTATGATATAGTGCAATTTTTGCAGATAGGACAGGTGTCTGGCTTTGTTGTCGGGGTGGCCATTGGACTAGGAGTGCTAATTTCTGGGTAAAGCATAAATAATTACTTATTACAAACTAACTAGAACTCACCAGATTCACTTAAGTCGATTAAATTATCAAATGCAGGCCTGTTTCAGGTGGGTCGATGAATCCAGCGAGATCGTTAGGACCTGCACTTGTTTCATGGAAATTTGATGATCACTTATGGATATATTTAGTAGCACCAACTATAGGAGCCATTGCTGGTGTTTTTGTGTACCGGATTTTACGACTACAAGGTTGGTCTTGTGAGTCGAGTCAAGCCCGAAAAGGAAGTGATTCTTTACATTAGGTTGTAGCATAGGCCAGCACGGTCGTTTCGATTCTTTATCTTCCTTGTACGCTTGCATTTACGTCTATGAGTGTTCAAATTTCCAAATGTGTTTACGAATCAAATTTTGTCTAATCTTATGTGAAAACAAAGCCTTAATCGGACAGTCTCTATTTAAATTGCTTTATTTTAAACTTTTTTTTTTCTCTGTTTGGTCGTTTTCTCTTTTCCTATATGATATGAGATATTATTCTTCTACTTAACAAGGCCTATCAATGGGCCTAACGACAGTAGAGATAATGCTCCGTCAGCCCAAGAAAATCCATCAAATATGGGAGAATTTACACCAATAGCACTAGATAAGAGTGAATACGGTTTAGTTTGGCGGTTTAAGACAAAATTTCAAACCAAACCATTTAAAACAGTTTGAAATTTTTCCAAATCAAACCAAAACCACTTTGATTACTAAACTAAACAAATCCAAATCATTTATCATTTTTTTCTGTTTGGTTATGTTTAAAACTGCGGTTTAATAAAGAAAAAATTAATCTATATCAAATAAGTTAAATAATAAATATTATTCTAAAATTTCATGTTAAAACATAAATTGTATTATTAAAAAATTGCAAATCAAAGTTATATAACTATAATTATTATAATGCAACAACATGATATAAATATTTTAAACTCTTAATCGCTACTAATGGCGTCCATTTACAAATGTAATACATGATTCATTTTCTTAATAAATATTAAATATAGTACATGAATTCATTGATTATAGTTGAATAATATAAAATGATTAATAAAAGAAAATGAACAAAAAAAAATCAAATACAAAACAACAACATAACTACCAATAAAAATATAAAAATCAAACCTTTTTTTTTTTTTTTAGGTGAATCATTCAAAGCTTATACTTCATCTAAATATTGGCAAATTATTTTAAAGAAGCCCGAAAATCATTAGAACAACCAAGCTACTTCGTAAGCGGTTTGGTTCGGTTCAAAACCAAAATTTTGACGGAACCACGTGCAACCAAGCCAATGGTTTCTGGAAAACGATTTCGGTTCGATTTTACGGTTTAGCACCTTCGTTGTTCAGCTCTAACACTAGATGGGCAAAAAAATGGATTAGATACTCTCTTTTCTTTTCTTTTTTCTTTTTTTATTGGGTTAAGGTAACTATATTTTACTCTAGTGTCAATCTAGTAATGATACTTCAATTTTTTTTTACGGTTAACTATAATGTAATTTAATTTTAAATCAGATAACTCCGTTCAATTTCATCACCGATTCATGAATTAGGGTGATGGAAATTTTTTATCTATGAAATAGTGAAGCATTTCATTTATTTCACTAAAATTGTACATATTTCATATAAGTAGCTAATAATTAGGCTGATTGAAACTTTTAATCGATTGTCGCATTATCAATTTCTGTCAAGAGAATTGGACAAAGTATAGTTACTTGACTAAAATCATATTAAAGTATAGTTATTCGACTAAACAAAAATGAACTACAGTTACTTAAATGAGGCGATACATAAAAGACTCGTAATCTAATTAACAACTTAACTTTACTTCAATCTTGTAACGCAAGCTGCTGAACCATGGCGAAACAACTAGGTATTGTGTTAACATAGCAATATGAGTGATTGTGTCTTAGGGCCTGTTAGGCGTGACTTTTGCTTTTACTTTTTGTAAAAGAGCTTTTGGAGAAAATTATATTTATTTTTGTTAGAAGACTAATTTTTTAAAAGAGTTTCTTGTTTTGAAAGTGCTTTTTGAAAAAGTCACATTGTACCAATTTCTTCTAAAAACTCTTTTAATTAGAAGAAATACTTTTATAAAATTATTCAAACAAGTTCGAAAACAATTTTTGAATCTTAAAGACGCTTTTTTAACTTTTCCAAAATCATGACTAATGAACCCTTAGTAGAAGCAAACTATTCATTGACAATTTTAAGGAGGACAAAGCAATAGTTTATGGTTAAAGCGGCAAATTAGGGGACAAACGTGAGAGACAAATGTTTTGTCCAATTGCTTAAGACAATTAGCCATTCTTCATTCTCCCTGAAGTGACAACCAAAAAACCTTAAAATTTCATATGCTGAAGAGAATACAGATTATGAACTGCTGGCCTTGATTCCGCAAACAAAACATGAAAACAAAAGTGATGAAAAAAATTCCCTCTTTTCTTGTTGCTTTGAAGTGATAAAATTGATTGTTAGAAAGAAAATAAAATTAGTAATACTCTCAAAGTACTCGTGAGGAGACGTCTTATTATTATTATTATTTTTTTTTATGACGGGGAACCTACAGTCGCTACTCTTCGGATGTACGCTGGGTAAACCCTCGGACTGACGCGATAGTCTGCAAATCACGCTAGCCAGGTAAACAGCATTAGGCAAACCCGATACGACAGACTCGACCAAGAAAGTGTTGGTAGAGGAAATCGAACTCGTGATCAAAGACTTCCGCGCTCACCCACTCCAACAACTCGGCCACCCCATGAGGGGCGGAGACGTCTTATTATCACTTCTACTTTGCCTGAATTCAATCATGTGGAGGTTCTTGAGTCTATAAGTATGAGTAAAAATTTTAAGGTACTTCGAATCGTCTAAAACTGAGCATTGTTATTACATAAGCAACAAAATTTGTGGCGGGTTTTTGTCATAAAATTTCTTGTAAATTTTTATATATTTACTTGAGCAACAATGAATAAAAAAAAATGATTTTCCATCACAAAAAAAAAAAAATTAAAGAAAGTCGGTCTAGAAGCTAGTGTTTTGACCTTTTAAGATTCTGTTACTTTTAACTTAACAACATATCAATTATTTTAAAGACTCGGGGTTAAAAGTGTTCCACTCAAATGAGTTGTGACTTGTAAGCTATGTCCTATAAATAAATATTGAAGTATTTTTCTAAAAACTTTAGGTAAAAAAAATTAAATGTAACTGTCACAAGCAATTGGACAAGATAAAAGTGACTCACCAACTAAAATTGCCCACTTATTATTTCTTAGTATGGATTGAGTCATGTCTTACTAATTTTGCAAATTAGCCACGATAAAATTAATGAAAAGTGATTACAATTTGAAGCAATGGGCATATAGATTAATTTTTTTGCCATTATGGATGTGGATAGGTGAATATCCCAATGGTCCCCCTCCAACAAGCATGGGATAAGCACAAAAAATAATCCAATAGAGTTTCATCATACTTTTGTGAGTATTTTAAATTAAAAGCTTGAAAATTTTTCAGGTAAAATAAATAGTGTGGAAGCATGTGTTTTATTGATAGCTTGCTTTGTAAAGTGTAATATATATATAGATGTCAAGTTTCGAAACAAATCATGTTGTGAGTCAATCAAAGTAAAAATCGAGCTGTGAGAAACCTAACTATCTTGACTATGTTTTGTGCAAGTCAGCCCACAAGAACCTTTAAATTACTTTTCTTAACAATATTTTATGTAGAAATCATTTTTATAGATAAATTACTTATTTGTTAATTTCATGATTCAGTTATTACATTTGACAAGATTTTAATTTCAAATTGGAGTTTCACTAAATTAAGGTATTATGAATGCTAAGAATCTTATCTTAAATGTCAAGATTAAAGTTTCAAAATGATAAGATCGTCCTATTAAATAATATTTTTCTTTGTATACCTAAGTCATTTTCAATCTTGGAAGGACCCCAAGGTCAATGGAAATGGGAAGAGAATGGGGCTCACATTTGCCTTAAAAGGGATTGCCATTGGAATTTGATAGATAGTGTCTTTATCATGGGTGCTATGGTGCTAGTGCTTTTATTTAAGCCCCTACAACTTTGGTGAAAATGATTTCATACCATAAAAATTAGAGAAATTTGCAACATACGACTTCTATTTAGAATGTATTTACATTTTGCATGACACAGCTATTATTTATAACTTATAAGTAAGAAAAATACTTTTTTATTTAAAAAAATTATACATATACCAATGTAAGTAGCTTAACAAAACAAAATACCCTTAATTAGTAATAACAAATCACGACTACATTTTATATTATTAAACACTTTACATACCATGTGTTTAACTCTTATTATTATTTTTTTTTTAAATTTAATTACTAGAAGCTTGAGATAGTTTATTAATTTTTTTTTCTTAAAAGATGGTCTTCATTTATTGTAAGGTTTACAAAATGATTGCTCTTCATTTTTAAAATTACAGAGTGAAAAAAAAAACGCTGTGAAAAAGACAAATCTTAAAAAAAATAATAAATAAAAAACGTGTTGGAAAATATAGCAAAAACTTAATTTGAATTTTTTCCAACATTATTAAGTGGACATATGCAAATTATTAATTTTCACCATTATTATATAAGTTTATTCATCGTAATTTATGTTTAATGAGTAAAAATAACAAAAATTAGAAAAAAAATGCTTTAAATCGACCAAGATTATTCATAACTACTTTCTTTCGCAGCACTAGGCTTTCAGCTCGGTCAACTCTCCCTTTTGTGCCACCTAGGATAGTCTAGAAGACTTGTAGAGAGATTAATATGAAACACATGCCCAATTAACAAAGGTAAAGTCCTCTACCAATAAAATAAAAAGAGGAAAGACATCGAACATCGATGCATCCCTCTAATAGTTTAAGCCTGCAGGTTATAGCAAAAATGAAAAAGGTCAAGCGTATATATTTGATGAAATGATCAATGCTTAGATTTGTTACTAAGAGTCTTTGCCTTAATCTATTCTCTTTTGTTAGCTAGACTTTTGTTGGAAGAATTGGCACCTTTTCTTGATCTTCTCTTTCCTAAAGTATGCAGTATGTCACGGACTTGCTAATTTCTTTCAAGAACCGTGCGGCCTTAGTGTCTTCAACTTCCGCCCCCGCGGTTATTACACTAAGTCAGCCTCTCGATTGGCATTGATGTCTTAGAAAGACACTAGGTAGAACACTTTAGGAAAGGGACAATGAAGGAACACAAGAACTTACAAAGAATGCTTTGTATTGAATAAGGATACTCTTTACAACTTCACTCTCTTGATGCCTTCAAATGAATCTTACCAAGCTATTTATAGTAGTAGCCTACTCAAATGGATGGCTAGAATCTTTTCTATCCAATGGTCTAGATTACACATCTAGAATTATCTATACAAATATCTACATTAAAATATCTATGGACTAGACTAGGATGATCTAGAATAATCCACCAAGTGAGGAGCTTGTAGGCTTCTAGAATGTCCCACCATATTCTAGCAATCTTCATGCACTTGTGGGAGTCTAGAATATTCCGGTTAGCCTCAAGTCTTTTGTCAATCCAATCCACCAACGGATTCAACCCTGGCCAACCTGTTAACATTTCACGATTTATTTTCTCGTGTGTTCCCTCATTTCTGACAGCAGGGCTTGCTAACGGGGTTAAGGGTACAGCAGGGCTCGGGGGAAGCCTGATCGCCCTTCCTTCTCAACTTGCTCGTGTTTTCAGCTTTCAAAGAAAATTTGCTATTTGCTTGAGCTCCTCCACTAGATCCAATGGCATCGTATTTTTTGGAAATGGCCCATATGTTTTGCTTCCTGGTATTGATGTGTCTATGTCTCTTATTTATACACCACTTATCAAGAATCCATTTGGCATTGGATCCGTCCCATTTCTGAACGAGCTCTCTTCGGAATACTTCATTGGATTAAAATTGATCAGAATCAACGGAAAATCAGTGCAACTAAATAGAACTTTGCTATCAATTGACAGGGAAGGTAATGGTGGAACCAAAATCAGCACCTTTAGACCTTACACTGTAATGCAGACTTCGATTTACAATGCTTTGATTACTGCTTTCAGAAAAGAACTAGCCAATGTCACTAGAGTGCTTCCGGTAGCACCATTTGGGACATGCTTCGACTCTAAGAACATTGGTAGCACGCTCGTGGGGCCTGCTGTTCCACCCATTGATCTTGTCTTTAAAGGCAACAAAGTGTACTGGAGTATTTTTGGTGCAAACTCAATGGTGCAGGTTAATGAAGGTGTAATGTGTCTCGGATTCGTGGATGGAGGGGAGAATCCCATGACATCAATAGTCATTGGTGGACATCAAATTGAGGACAATCTTCTGCAGTTTGATCTAGCTAGATCTAGGCTCGGGTTTAGCTCTTCGCTCTTGTTCAGGCAAACAACCTGTGCCAACTTCAACTTTACATCTCTCGCTTAAGGGTTCTGTTTCATTTTTCTCATTCAGAATAACATCAAACTATAAAATAAATTCTTGAACTCTTTCTGATTTTGTTCTGTTCTCATACAACTGCACGTTTTTTTCTTCGTGTTCCTGTTTTTGCTTTTCATATCGCCTAAAAGTTAGCAAAGTAGTGGATATTAGTAACTAAAAGTATGTTCTTGATTTTGCTTGGAAATGATATTAACAACTGCACCCCCTCCAACCTCCACCCCATCCCAAAACAAAAACATTGTAAGTGTTATATAATTGAGAAACAGTTGGACAGTAAAGGTCAACCTATTTTCCTTAAACATTAAAGAAGCATGAGTTACTTATAATCCCTTTGAAAGAACACAAGGATTGCGTTGAAACAAACAGTCCCCAACTTCTGCAACGTTATAAACTCCTCAATCGAAATGTGTATTCCTAACATAGAAATAAAAATGCAAAAGTGCGAAAGGATTCAACATTAAACTACAATTCATTAGGCCTGTGGAACTCAAAATCCAATTCCACGAGCACGAAAAAATGCAGCAAAGTATGAAAGCACCATTTCGGGAACTGTCATCGACTCCTAACATTTTAGGTAGTACAGCCTCAAGAAGCCAGCCCAAAAATGACCTAGAAAATGGAGATTCAATGATAAATGAAACTCTCTTCAACTCTCTTCATAAAATCGACAAAAGTCTTGTGCGTAAGGTACATGTCTACAAAAGAATCTCCCATATTTGCTCGTAAAATCCATCTTTTCATCGTCTAAATCTGCAGGTATTGGCAGAGGCATTAGGGACATTCGTGCTAATGTTCTGCATTTGCGCGATCATAGCAATAATGCATTTAATCGGATTGGAAGCAGGCCTAATGGAATATGCAGCCACAGCAGCACTAACAGTAACTGTTATAGTTTTCTCCATAGGAGCAATTTCTGGAGCCCATGTCAATCCTGCTGTCACAATTGCCTTCGCAACTGTCGGCCCATTCCCATGGTCCGAGGTAGTTCCAAGTCCAAAACTTGTTAAATTTGAAGATTCGGATCGAGAAATTGAATTTCAAATTTATTTCCCTTTTTCTTTGAAGGTTCCACTCTATATATTGGCACAAATTGGGGGATCTACTTTGGCAACTTATATTGCAAGATTAGTATATGGCATTAGATCAGAGCTTGTGATGACCAAACCACTCCAAGGATGCACTGCAGCTTTCTGGGTGGAGCTTATTGCAACTTTCATAATTCTTTTCCTCACTGCATCCTTGTCAAATGACCCTCAATCTGTAAGATTCTGTCAATTCTACTCGAGTCATTTTACGTTCGACTACACTTATCCTGTGATATGTTCGGTTTAGAGTTATATCAGACATGTTGCACATATTAGGATATTCGATTTACAGTGTTCCTAGTAATATTTCTTCTGGTATGATATAGTGCAATTTTTGCAGATAGGACAGGTGTCTGGCTTTGTTGTCGGGGTGGCCATTGGACTAGGAGTGCTAATTTCTGGGTAAAGCATAAATAATTACTTATTACAAACTAACTAGAACTCACCAGATTCACTTAAGTCGATTAAATTATCAAATGCAGGCCTGTTTCAGGTGGGTCGATGAATCCAGCGAGATCGTTAGGACCTGCACTTGTTTCATGGAAATTTGATGATCACTTATGGATATATTTAGTAGCACCAACTATAGGAGCCATTGCTGGTGTTTTTGTGTACCGGATTTTACGACTACAAGGTTGGTCTTGTGAGTCGAGTCAAGCCCGAAAAGGAAGTGATTCTTTACATTAGGTTGTAGCATAGGCCAGCACGGTCGTTTCGATTCTTTATCTTCCTTGTACGCTTGCATTTACGTCTATGAGTGTTCAAATTTCCAAATGTGTTTACGAATCAAATTTTGTCTAATCTTATGTGAAAACAAAGCCTTAATCGGACAGTCTCTATTTAAATTGCTTTATTTTAAACTTTTTTTTTTCTCTGTTTGGTTGTTTTCTCTTTTCCTATATGATATGAGATATTATTCTTCTACTTAACAAGGCCTATCAATGGGCCTAACGACAGTAGAGATAATGCTCCGTCAGCCCAAGAAAATCCATCAAATATGGGAGAATTTACACCAATAGCACTAGATAAGAGTGAATACGGTTTAGTTTGGCGGTTTAAGACAAAATTTCAAACCAAACCATTTAAAACAGTTTGAAATTTTTCCAAATCAAACCAAAACCACTTTGATTACTAAACTAAACAAATCCAAATCATTTATCATTTTTTTCTGTTTGGTTATGTTTAAAACTGCGGTTTAATAAAGAAAAAATTAATCTATATCAAATAAGTTAAATAATAAATATTATTCTAAAATTTCATGTTAAAACATAAATTGTATTATTAAAAAATTGCAAATCAAAGTTATATAACTATAATTATTATAATGCAACAACATGATATAAATATTTTAAACTCTTAATCGCTACTAATGGCGTCCATTTGCAAATGTAATACATGATTCATTTTCTTAATAAATATTAAATATAGTACATGAATTCATTGATTATAGTTAAATAATATAAAATGATTAATAAAAGAAAATGAACAAAAAAAAATCAAATACAAAACAACAACATAACTACCAATAAAAATATAAAAATCAAACCTTTTTTTTTTTTTTAGGTGAATCATTCAAAGCTTATACTTCATCTAAATATTGGCAATTTATTTTAAAGAAGCCCGAAAATCATTAGAACAACCAAGCTACTTCGTAAGCGGTTTGGTTCGGTTCAAAACCAAAATTTTGACGGAACCACGTGCAACCAAGCCAATGGTTTCTGGAAAACGATTTCGGTTCGATTTTACGGTTTAGCACCTTCGTTGTTCAGCTCTAACACTAGATGGGCAAAAAAATGGATTAGATACTCTCTTTTCTTTTCTTTTTTCTTTTTTTATTGGGTTAAGGTAACTATATTTTACTCTAGTGTCAATCTAGTAACGATACTTCAATTTTTTTTTACGGTTAACTATAATGTAATTTAATTTTAAATCAGATAACTCCGTTCAATTTCATCACCGATACACGAATTAGGGTGATGGAAATTTTTTATCTATGAAATAATGAAGCATTTCACGTATTTCACTGAAATTGTACATATTTCATATAAGTAGCTAATAATTAGGCAGATGGAAATTTTTTATCGATTGTCGCATTATCGATTTCTGTCAAGAGAATTGGACAAAGTATAGTTACTTGATTAAAATCATATTAAAGTATGGTTATTCGACTAAACAAAAATGAACTACAGTTATTTAAAATGAGGCGATACATAAAAGACTAGTAATATAATTAACAACTTAACTTTACTTCAATCCTGTAACGCAATATGCATCATGCTACTGAACCATGGCGAAACAACTAGGTATTGTGTTAACGTAGCAATATGAGCGATTGTGTCCTAGGGCATGTTAGGCGTGACTTTTGCTTTTACTTTTTGTAGAAGAGCTTTTGGAGAAAACTATATATATTTTGTTTGAAGACTAATTTTTCAAAAAGTTTCTTGTTTTGAAAGTGCTTTTTTAAAAAGTCGCATTGCACCAATTTCCTCTAAAAGCTCTTTTAATTAAAAGAAATACTTTTATAAAATTATTCAAACAAGTTCGAAAACAATTTTTGAATCTTAAAAACGCTCTTTAACTTTTCCAAAATCATGACTAATGAACCCTTAGTAGAAGCAAACTATTCATTGACAATTTTAAGGAGGACAGAATACTAGTTTATGGTTAAAGCGGCAAATTAGGGGACAAACGTGAGAGACAAATGTTTAGTCCAATTGCTTAAGACAATTAGTCATTCTTCATTCACCCTGAAGTGACAACCAAAAAACCTTAAAATTTCATATGCTGAAGAGAATACAGATTATGAACTGCTGGCCTTGATTCCGCAAACAAAACATGAAAACAAAAGTGATGAAAAAAATTCCCTCTTTTCTTGTTGCTTTGAAGTGATAAAATTGATTGTTAGAAAGAAAATAAAATTAGTAATACTCTCAAAGTACTCGTGAGGAGACGTCTTATTATTATTATTATTTTTTTTTATGACGGGGAACCTACAGTCGCTACTCTTCGGATGTACGCTGGGTAAACCCTCGGACTGACGCGATAGTCTGCAAATCACGCTAGCCAGGTAAACAGCATTAGGCAAACCCGATACGACAGACTCGACCAAGAAAGTGTTGGTAGAGGAAATCGAACTCGTGATCAAAGACTTCCGCGCTCACCCACTCCAACAACTCGGCCACCCCATGAGGGGCGGAGACGTCTTATTATCACTTCTACTTTGCCTGAATTCAATCATGTGGAGGTTCTTGAGTCTATAAGTATGAGTAAAAATTTTAAGGTACTTCGAATCGTCTAAAACTGAGCATTGTTATTACATAAGCAACAAAATTTGTGGCGGGTTTTTGTCATAAAATTTCTTGTAAATTTTTATATATTTACTTGAGCAACAATGAATAAAAAAAAATGATTTTCCATCACAAAAAAAAAAAAATTAAAGAAAGTCGGTCTAGAAGCTAGTGTTTTGACCTTTTAAGATTCTGTTACTTTTAACTTAACAACATATCAATTATTTTAAAGACTCGGGGTTAAAAGTGTTCCACTCAAATGAGTTGTGACTTGTAAGCTATGTCCTATAAATAAATATTGAAGTATTTTTCTAAAAACTTTAGGTAAAAAAAATTAAATGTAACTGTCACAAGCAATTGGACAAGATAAAAGTGACTCACCAACTAAAATTGCCCACTTATTATTTCTTAGTATGGATTGAGTCATATCTTACTAATTTTGCAAATTAGCAATGATAAAATAAATGAAAAGTAATTACAATTTGAAGTAATGGACATATGAATTAATTTTTTAGCCTTTATGGATGTGGATAGGTGAATATCCCAATGGTCCCCCTCCAACAAGCATGGGATAAGCACTAAAAATAATCCTATAGAGTTTCATCATACTTTTGTGGGTATTTTAAATTAAAAGCTTGAAAATTTTTCAGGTAAAATAAATAGTGTGGAAGCATGTGTTTTATTG